TATACGAATATTGGCAAAAATACAGGCAGCTGATCCAGCGAACCGGTTTAAGAGACCAGATGAGCTCCTTCATTTGCTGAAGCTCAAGGCAAGGAATCTAAGGACAGCTAAAGAGAGAACAAGGACATATGCAGTTCAGAGAGTCATAACAATTTGGTCATTGTAGGTTGTAGGTAGCCCTAGTTTTCAATTCCCAAGATCATAAATGAGTTAATCAACCAATCACAAACAGCCACCTGAGTTTGCTAAACTTGTAAATATAGCAAAAGAATAGGGAAATTTTTGCCTAGTCAGAATGTCATTATGGCCTTTTGGCCATATTTGCTTTTATATTTTCAGGTGTTTCCAACCCCTGATCTTAAGCCGGTGACAGTTGACCTGACTGTTGGTTCTGAGAAAACACTGAAGATTTTCTTCAGCTCAGCTCATGGATATCACATGATTGATGCAGAATCTGAAGTTATGTCTGATGTGACCTTGCCAAATAACGTAAGATAATACCTTCAGATCTCTAGAACTTATTATAAGCACTTTGAAACACACTCTCAAAAGTTTTAAGTATAACTTCCCTTCATTTCTTTTACTTTTTAAAGTGATGTTTATTTTTATTTTATGTGCATTGATGTTTTGCCTGCATGTGCATGTATGCCTGAGGGTGTAGGGTTCTAACAGGTAAGTTTAGCATGGCAGAGAATGTTGCTACATAAATAAAAATCACTAATGGTTTCATTCTACAAATATTTAAGTGCAGTCTGCAGACAGATTTTGTTTGGCCATAATGATTTTGTTATTAATAAATACATGTAGCCTTTAAAATCCAGAGTTCTATTGATTAACCAGACCTGAGAATCTCAAGCCCATACCACCATCTGGCCATTATCAAGTGGAACTAATTGAGGTCTGCCTCCTTTTAATGACTTTTGTGTTCTACATTCACTATCCATTCATCTTTGTGCATTTATCTAATTGGCCCTAGGATGCTTTTTCAGTTGGCTTTAGTATTTCTATATCCTGTAATATACTAATATACTTTATTAAGAAATAGGAGAATTACATAATTATGTGTAGTCCCCTCTTTATTGTATTATCTATAGACTACAGCAAATTACTTTAAAATTCATTTATGTCATTAATTAATTTGGAGAATTTCTGATGAAAAGATTCAGTATTTTTACAGTAAATTCACTACAATTTTACATGTAAATAAGGCCCAAGATTTAAATTATGAATGCTTGTACAAACACACAACATCAATATAAAGAAATTAAGCTGGGCGTTGGTGGTGCCCACTTTTAATCCCAGCACTCCGGAGGCAGAGGCAGGAGGATCTCTGTGAGTTCTAAGCCAGCATGGTCTACAAAGCAAGGGCCAGGACAATCTCCAAAGCAATACAGAGAAACCCTGTCTCAAAAACCGAAAAGAAAAAGAAAAATACAAAGAGCTTGGCAATAACATCATACAACTCCCAATTTATCATACAAAATATTGATGGTAGAATTGATGGTTTCCTAGTTGAAAGTTATATTTGAAAGGAATGCCTTTACCAGCAGTTTCTTTTTGCTTTTTGCTTCACCCTTTCTTGATACTCAGTTTATTAAATATTAAATTTTCAGCAGCTTATCATTATGTAAAATCCCTGTACAATAATTTATGTACTTTAAATCACTCAATTTGTGTGATATTTTGAACAGTTTTAGAAATATAGCCCATGTCTCTAATAATGCAATTAAAACAATGACATAAAACAGCAGAACATTGGTGAAGACGTCTTTCAACATATTTTGGTGAAACTAACAATCAGTAGCTAATGACCCAGTAGTTGCCTAAATATACAATTTACCCTGTTTCTACTGTGGTAATAGTAAACACATTCTCAGCCAAAACAACAAAATAATTTTGATGTAACTATATTACTCTTTATTTAAGTTGTCTCTGTAGCTTCATGTGTCTTCTATTTATCATCATAACAGACAACCTTTATTCAGAAGCCAGTGCAATAAGGAATATTTGAATGTTGATTTAAGTCTACACTTATTGAAAAACCCAATCTGGCATATTAGTGCACACATAACACACATAAACCCATAACTTTGGAGGTGTAGACAGGATGTTTGGGAGTATTATGGCCAGCATTGGCTATTTAGCAAATTTGAGGCCAGCCTGGGGTACACTAGACACTGGCTTGAAAATAAAATCATTGAAGATGTTTAAATCTAAATAATAAGCATGGAAATTATTTACTACAGAAATGAGAATGAGGGAAGAGATTTCAAAAATCATTTTCTGACCTAATTAGGATACCTCATATGTACGCAAACATATTTTTAGACAAATTCCCTAGTGTCTTGACCCACTAAAATAGAAAGGATTCTAATATAAGGGAGAGGAGGGTGTCTTCTGAAAGAGAATATCCTAAAAATAATATTTTCTCCAAAGTGCTAGATTACAAAGGCTCTCACAGTGTTGGGGAGCCACGCATGCTGAAGAGTACCCAGTTGCTTAAGGAAGCATCCAAGAAGCAGGGGAATTACCTCAGAGGCTGTCTGAGTTCACAGCAGTCCCTTTTTATTACAAACAGATTTTCTTGAGACAACCTTATTTCTTGCATTTTCTTTCATTCTTTTATCTGTTTTCTGATTCAACTGCTCATCCAAGTACCCAGGGAACACATTAAAATTGCGTTTCGCCTCTGGATTCCCATTTTAGTTTTGAGGATTGTTGTTGCTGAGACATGGCCTCAAGCAACTGGCCTGAGTACGCTGGCTTTGGCAAGTATAGCTTCTGACCTCTCCTCCCCTCACCCCCGTAACTTGCTAATTTGGAAAAACAGTAAAACACACCTTTTTAAAAATTATTAGAGAAATACTTTAAATGGCATGGCATAATATCTGTGCATAGAACAGATTCTGTCCCATTTATGAACCTGAAAATTTACAAATTCATACTTATCTCTTAGTATTTCCTTATTCTGCCAATCAATACTTCTTAATGTGCATATTGAGTCTGTGTTAACATGATGTGACTTGAATGAGATAGTCTACGTTTTCTTGAATGGGGGACAATTATAATAAAACAAATTATGAACAGTATTAAAAGTTGACCCTTAAAATATTTGAAGCTCAAGCTATTTGAGGTTTATTTTCCTTTTTACATGAATTTGCTAATGACCAAGAATTATGTATATGATGTGTTACTTGGCTCACACATTCATTATGAAAATATTGCTTAATTTCTGAAATGAATCCTAAATTCAGGGCTATATTATTTTTTTCCTATATAATACACAAGACTTTTGTGGCATTCCAAGAAATTTCTCTGTGCTAGAAGTACATACAGCTCAATTTTTTTCCAAAATTATTATCTAAACAAAAATAGAGAATATTAAAACTTATGGCTTTGTGACATAATGGAAACCAACTCTTCGCAAATATTTAGTTTATCTCAGTCTGCTGAATTTAGAAACAGAGATTACCTTCCTCCCTGCATGCTGAGCATTTTTGGTCTTCAATTAAAGTAATAGTTGCTGCGGTTAATGTAATAGTAATAAAATTCTGGACACAAAAGTCTTAATGAAACATAATCCCTGTCCCTGGTAATCATTACATCACAGAACATCATCATTTTACCTGATTGCTTGGGAATTGGCGTGATGCTCTCCTTCAATGCTGAAGCTGCCTCCGAGGAAGCAAATGAACAACTCTTCAAGAAGATCCTTGATGTGTGGAAAGACATACCATCTTCCGTGGGTACGTACTAAATTCTTTTTCCTCCCAGATGATCCAGAGAAGCTTTAAGAGAATGAAATTGTGACCTAAAATAGGGTTTCTGGAATTTAGGGTTTTTTGTTTTTTCTTAAATCACGGATGGGTAATTTAAGGTCTTCCATGTTTAAAAAAGTACTTCTATTTTGTCTAGTCATCAGTGTTCTATATAGAGAGTGGTATTTGTGTAAAGTAACTTATATATAAAAAGATAGATAGAACTGCCTGAAATACCTGTTAGTGGCCACCCAGGTGGCAACATGGAGAATTACATTTTTTTTTCTGGTTAGTGCACTTAATTTCTCTAAATAGTCTAGGGAATCAGGTCTGGGAAATTAAATAAATTCAGATTCTTTTTTATGTTTCCAATGTGTAGTGACTAGAAAAAGAGAATATATGCAAATAGTTAACTATTAGTCAGGGTAAAGAGTAGAATGACAACATAAATGACAACCCCCCTGTCGTTTGTGTGTGTGTGTGTGTGTGTGTGTGTGTGTGTGTGTGTGTGGATGAAGGCACTGGGTTATACAAAAGAAAGGGAAGGGGAAGGAAAAGCTGTTTGTCCAAACAGAGGCCAGCATCCTCTAAAATGTCTATACAGTGGGTAGAAAAGTAACACCCACATTACTTTAATAAAAAATTTGAAAGAACTCATTTTGAACTATTTTTCTGTGGGGTGATAATCTTTTCCATTGCATCTGCAGAATCTTTTAAATTTTTAGACATAGTCAATGTTAAGGACTGTCCTGAAAACCTGCTCTAATTTCTTCAAATAGCTAAGAATTCACAGAGGGCTTAAAGCCATTTCCAATGATAGACACTAAATGCTTATGGTACAAATTGATGGATCTAGGGCAAAAGAAAGTAAAAGCAATGAGTCATGTTATATCTTTTATAGTGATACTTTCAGGAATAATGTTAAGCAGCCCAAGGAAAGAATGCATCCCCAGAATGTCAAAAAGTATGTGAACCCAGAAACGAAAATCAGGTAGCTAAGTTCAACTGAGAAACTGAGCATAACCTTAATATTCAAGCCACTAGGTGATCATAAGAGTAAAGGCTGTTGGTTTTGATGATAAATAGACAGAGACAATTAAATGAAGAGTAATATAGTTACATCAAATAGTATTCCATAAGTTATTTTATGTAAATTTAATGTAAACTACTGAAGATAAATTTTAGTTTAAATAGGAGTACCTGAGAACATTTGATAAAAACGGGTAATTTACAAACATACATAGCTATACTAATGCCAATTTCCCTTATAAAATAAAGGAAAACCAAGATTCAGATTAATTAAAGAATTCTGCTTTCAGTCATCAAAGTGCCACATTTTGTTTTTTAATTTCAGTTAAAATTTGTGTCATTTTAAATGCTACAATTTAATTTATATATGGAAATTTTCTCCCCATAAATTTCATAAAGAATAGGAAGTTGAAAGTCAAACAATTACGAATATTACTACTTCAGCCATAACATACTTCACAGAGTCAGTGAAAGAGATGGACTTCTCATAACAATAAATCTGCTTTCAGATAGTATTTTCATAAATGATATCATCACAAAGGATTATAAAACAGACAAAAAAAGTTTAAAATGGTTATAATTTCCCTCAACAAGAAAAGGCTTTAACTATATAAAATTATGCTCAGGTCTGCTTGTAACAGGAAAACTTTCTCAATTAAATGTGTTACTAAAGTCATTGTTTGAATAAGACATTATGTAACAGTTTAATATTTTCAGGGCTGAGAACTGAACCCAGAGTCTTGCACTCTACCACTGAACTAAATCGCAAACCCTGTTTTAATTTGTTCTGGAGTCAGTTTTCCACGTATGTTACAACACAGCTCTTTATTGGGACCCCTCAGTTCATATTTGATGTGACACTGTACTTTACCTACACTATTACATTTTATTTAAAGCCATGGATTGATCTGAATGTTTACAAAGTCGTTAACCCTTGGCTTAGTCTGTGGTCTTACAGTATATAAACACAAACGTTCACGAAGACCTAGCAAGTCAATGTTGATCACTGTGGGACCTACAGGTAACAACTGTGAAAACCAGGCCTAAGCAGCAAAATGTCCAAAATGGCACACTTTAGAATAAGGTTAAAAACAGATGAGTTTAACCTTTCCTGTAACTATAAACTTCTTAATAGTTAACTGTGGTTATGATTTTTATCCCCCTGCTGACAAAATGAAATGTTCTGCTGACGTTTCCATTTGTATTGTAGCTTTTGAGTGTACACAGAGAATCACCGGGTGCGACCAAAAGGCTATTGAAGTGCGGTCCCTGCAGTCCAGCATCATCGAGAATGAGCTGAAGCGCAGGTCAATCAAGAAACTGAGATTCCTGTGTACCCGTGGTGACAAGGTACAGTTTACACCCTTCAGTAAAGGGGAAATAAATTAGGCAGTGACATTAATTAGACTTTCTGACCATTTCCTTTCGCTCATAAATACATTAGATTATATTTTTTAAATAGCACAGTATCAATAAAAACAATATATGCCCCAATTTTAGATAGATATAATATAAATTAAATATAAATCTAGTTATATCCCAATTAAACATCGATATTTTATATGGCAAGAACTTGCATTATTTTTTGATCCATAATCATTTTTGTTTTCATACCAAGAAATTTAAGAAAAATATGAGAGCATATCTGCCTCCTTAGGATGATTTAAATATTTTGGTTTTGATTACCATAATTTAATCCCACATATCAATGACATTCTTTGTGATATTT